GTACAACTCAAATACTTCAATTTCAGCCCCTAGCTGTGCATGGTACTCACATAAGGGCGTATGAAAATTTCTGCAGGAAAACTGATAATTTGGGCGGATGTTCCCCGTCCACGTGCAATTTAAAAATTTCAAATTCAGCTTTCCAAGCGCATGGAGTACCCAAGTAAGGGGATATGATGATCTTGGTTGGAAAATTTGCCAATTCGGGAACCAGAAAAGTTGAAAAGCTGAAATTTTGAGGCAATATTTCCTGTCCAAGTACAACTCAAGTATTTCAAATTCAGCCTAGAGGTATGAATGATACAGGCACTTGAAAGTCTAGACGAAAAAATTTCTTATTGAACAACTAGGTTACTTTTAAAAAACGACTGTTAAATGGAAATTGTACACTTACTTTGCGAAATTTATGGTGATTTATGCTAGTGATCGCAAAAAGTAGGTGTAAAGCAACAGCCATTTATACAATTAATGACCTGAGTAATTCAAGTCCGGCGCCGAGAACTGGGTTTCAAAAGCCACCATTTGCTGAAAAATCGACCTGACTTCATGGGAAAAAACTTATAGTCATGTGCCTACAGGTTCACGCTGTCCTGTGATGCAACACCTTGACAGTAACCGACATCCTTTCTGCTGCATGTTGGAAGAAACCAGAATGCGGCCGAAATGAGCCCATTTGTTAGATTGCAGCGCAGGGATCATTCCTGTTATTAGCGATTTACGAGTTTAGTGCAAAAACGCATGACCGCACCGGGCAAGCCTGGTGCGTTCCAGCCTGGGTTTATGTCTACGCATAAACTGAATCAAAGCCACATGTGAATATAGAATAAATAGCTGCTCGTACCAGAGTAACCGGCGTGATGACAAGTTTTGCTCAGTTCCGACCAGCGAACGTTTGCCTACTAAAAGTAGGTGAGTCCAGAAGGAGAAGGGCGAATTTCGCCCTCTTCCCCGCCTTCTCCCGTCCCTCTTCAGCGGCACAGGTACCAGCGCTGTATAAGCCCGGGTTGATTCGTACGTAAAGTAACTCTACATGGCAGTGTTACAATTCAATCCCTAGTTTTTGCATAGTTCCAGGGCTGGAGCCCCCCCC